TGACTTAAATGTGAAGGTTCAGAGCTGAGCTCCTGTTCCTGACCTGAGTCCATTCAGAGCCACCTACTCCAGGTAAATGGGAACGTGGGGTGACATGGGAGCTGCAGGCTGGGTGAAATAAGACCCAGGGACCCCCGAGAGCCTGCTCTGTGTCAAGGGAAAGATCTTCCCTTTCCAGGGAATCTATCTGAGTTAGAACTAGAATGCGCTGCTTAAATCTTGTGTTTTTTGTTCTTGGTTCTGGCACCTCCAAGAGCCTTTTACTCACCCACCTCAGTGTCTGCTTAAAAGACAAACCCAGGTCCTGCCCTCACCTAAGAAATCTGAAAAGCACCCAGTATGGTGGTGTACACCTTTAATCCCAGCACTCCGGAGGCAGAGGCAGGTGGATCTCTGTGAGTTCAAGGCCAGCTGAGGCTACAGGGAGACCCTGCCTCAAAAAGGCCAAAATAAAATCTGAAAGGCCTAATCCTGTGTCTGGCAACAGCAACCAGAGAGATAATAATCTGAAAACAAACGATTCCTCTCTAACTGGTGTGTTGTTGTTGTTGTCATGGTGGTGGTGGTGGTGGTTGTGGTTGTTTGTGTTCGGGCAGGAAGAGGTTAGGTCCCTCTAATCGTCCTAATGTCCTTGTTGCCTGACATTTCTCAGGTCTTGATTTTTCTGACTCTACTTTCTGGTTGTTCATAGAGGGTGGGCTCAGACCCGGAGAGGCTAGTAGCATGCCCAAGGTCACACAACCCATAAAAGAGAGCCCAAAAGGTAATTTGCTGAAAGTCAAGGTCAACAAATAGATAACTCATTCATTTATTTTTGTTTGTTTTCAGACAGGGTCTCCCCATACCCCTGGCTAACCTAGACCTTGCTATATAGACCAGGCTGGCCTTGAACTCACAGGGATCCACCTGCCTCTGCCTCTGGGAGTGCTGGGATTAACAGGCGTGTACCACCATGCCCAACTGTTTTATTTCTGAGGCAAGGTCTCACTAGCCTTGGCTGGCCTCTATGTGGATTAGGCTGGCCTCATTCACAAACATCTTCCTGCCTCTGCCTCCCTTGTGTTGGGATTAAAGGTGTGTGCTACCACACCTGGCTCATTTGGTTTCTATTTTTTAGTTTGTTTTTGAATCCCCCCACAAAGGCTTTTAGGAAATAGGAAAGCAAATAGGAAAGCAGAGAGAGCCCCCAGGCCGGGACAAACAGCCACCATCCCCAGAGAAGTAAAGGGAGAAGGGGCCTTCTAAACCCTTTCCAGTGACGATGGGCCCCTCCTCATTCTGCTGCAGCATCCATGGGGCAGGGCCCCACCTTTGCTGGGGTGGTCAGAACCCAGCCTGCTGTGCCTCAGCACCCCCTTCCCCTAGTGTACCTTGGGGGAGGATCGAGCAGGGGAGGTGCTGAAGATGAAGGGGATGGGAGGGGGTTGGGCTAGCTCTTTATTAGTGCCCCACTGAAGGAAGGGAAACAGCCTAGAGTAGAAGAGGGGAGGGGAAGGAGCCTCCCCCAGCCTGTCTTAGGTGGCCTGGGGCTCACATGGGTCCTTACTCTCACTGAAGCTAGGTACCAGATCCCAGGTAAGGGCAAGGTGGTGCAGCCCCAACACCTGCCCTACTACTTCCTATAGCCAGATGCTGGCCCTGTCTAGGGCAGGGACTGGGTAAGGCTGGGTCGAAGTGGCAGACAGCCCCTTTGGTGACAGTTTGGTTGGGGGGCATCTTGGAATCTGAGCATCCCCTTCACTGGCAGCACCTTCTGTCCCCAGCTCAACCAATGGGGCTTGTTATAATGAGATGGGGGCTTGGACCCCTTAATGCTGTGGGGTGCTCCCAGGAAAGCCAGAAACAGTGGGAGGGCCTAAGGGCCCCCAAACCAGGCGCCCAGGTGAAAGGATGCAGCAGGACAGCCTGAGGCTACATCGGAGCGTTAGACTTCCTGGAGAGGGCAAGTGTGCTTGTGGGGAGGGACCAGATTAAGCTGAAAACCTGCCCTCCTGTCCTTTTTTCGCTTGGAGGCCAGGGGCTGGCTGAACCTTGAATTCCCTTGACTGTCTCACCTTTCTTCTGGATGGAGTGGTGAGGAATGCTGGCAGGGATGTGTGAGCTGGGCCTTAGGGATCGACACTGCTGGGCGCTGAGGACCAGTATGCGGATGCCTTCTTGGAGCTGTGCTAGCGCCAGAAATAGCCCTGGTGTTGAGTCTCAATTAGAGGACTTGATTTTATACTTTTTTTTTAAAATATGTGTATGAGTGTATTGCCTGCATGTACATGAGTGCACCCGTGTTGTGCAATGCTGCGGAGGTCAGAAGAGGGCTTCCGATTCCCCTGGAACTGGAGTTAAGGACTGTAGCCACCATGTGTAACCGCTGAGCCATCTCTCCAGCGCGCCCCCCCCCCCTCTTTTGTACTTTTGAGACAGGGTCTCCCTGTTGCCCCATCTGTCCTGGATTTTAGAGACCTGGTTGACCTTGAACTCACGAGATTCCCCTGCTGGGATGAAAGGCTTGAGTCAGCATGTTTTTGAGGTCCCTAGCCTAGTTCTGCCTCAGCCTCTCAAGTGCTGGGATTACAGGCCTCTGCCAACCCACCGAGTTTTAATTCAAGAACTATTAAAGCAGTGCCTATTAGATGCTGGGTCTTGAAGACCTTGCTGCTTGCCGATTTGTGATAGTGATATTGTTTGGGTAGTCAGTGAGGAATACAGATCTGAACTGCATAGATGACTGTACTCATCAAAAGGGAGGGGTCTGATGTTAAGTCCTAATTGGATTGCTAGGGGCTCTGCACCAGAGACCTCTGAAGCTAAAGAGGGAAAGGAGGCCCAGCATAGGTCTTGCTGGACTCAACTCCTGGGGCTACAGCAGTGTACCCTCTGCTGGGATTAAAGGTGTGTGCCACCACAGCCAGCTATTTTTGGCTTTTAGAGACCAGGTCTTCAAGTAGTTCAGGCTGATCTCTAACATGTACACACACATGCACGCATATGCACATCTACAGCTCCCAGTGACAGTTCATTGGTAAACACGGAATATATTTTTGTTCTTTTTGGTACATTTTTTTTTTTGTTTTGGAGACAGGGTCTCCCTATAGCCATACCTGGCCTGGAACTCACTATATAGACCAGGCTGGCACAGAGCTCAGAGCAGTCTGCCTATCTCTGCCTCACAGGTGCTGGGACTGAAGGTGTGCACCACTATGCCTGGCTTACCTTTTTTTTTAATTTTTACATTTGTGTATTGTGTATTGTGTGTGTGTGTGCTCTTATGTGAGCCATTGTGTGGTCATGAGGTCAAAGGAGTCAGAGTAGGAGTCAGTTCTGCTTCTGCCATGTGTTCTTTAAGTTTTTTTTTTATATTTGTGATTTTAAAAAAATTATTTACTTGCTTATTTTTTTGGTCTTTTTGAGACTGGGTCTCCCTGTAGCCACAGCTGGCCTGGAACTCACTATGTAGACGAGGCTAGCCTGGAACTCAGAGACCCATCTACCTCTGCTTCTCCAGTGCTGAGATTAAAGGGATACACCACCATGCCCGGCTGCAAATCAAATTTTTTATGAACTTTTCAATTGTCAAAAGAGAGACAGGCCAGGAATGGAAAGCAGGCCTCTTTCCTGGTAGGCAAGCAAGAGCTCTACCATTGAGCTAGATAGCTTACCTAGGAAGGCCTTAACTCCAAAACTTCCAGCATCTTTTCCTGAACCCTTCTATTCTAAAAAGTATATATTTATTAATTTTTATTTAATTAATCAAGAGCTAATTAACTTATTTATTGATCTTTTTGAGACACGGTCTCCCTATAGCCCCAGCTGGCTTGGAACTCACTATGTAGACCAGGCTGGCCTTCAACTCACAGAGATCTGCCTGCCTCTGCCTCCCAAGATCTGGGATTAAAGGGGTGTGCCACCACACCGGCTTAAAAAGTATATATTTATTTTCATCTTCTGTGTATATTGAGTATCTTTTATGTATACTTAGTATATTGCCTGCACGAAAGTACTCCCGTGTCATGCAATGCCTGCACAGGCCAGAAGAGGGCACTGTTCCCCTAGACTTGGAGTTACGACGGTTGTCAGGTCTTCTGCAAGAGCAGACAGTGCTCTTAACTGCTGAGTTCTTTCTCCAGCCCTCCTGTTTTTGAAAGGTGAAAGGTGCTAGTAAGATTATTCTTATTTACCCGATTCCTAGAGTTTGACTACTGGTTGGAGATGTAACTAGCTCATAGATCACTTGTGTAGGTCAAACAAGGCTCTGTATTTCATCTCTAACACAAACCAAAAACTCCATCCAGCCATTTGTGGCGGTGCATGTTTATAATTCTAGCACTTGGAAAGCTAAAGCAGGAGAAAAGAAACCAAGGTTGGAGATGTAGCTCAGTTAGAGTGCTTGCTTAGCATGCATGAGGCCCAGGGTTCGATTCCCAGCATGACTACTGTAATCCCAGCCCTCTAAGCCTATCACTTTATCGGTGGGGAGAGGGAAGCAAGAAAATCAGGAATTACAAATTTAAGCAAGGCTGTGGTAGAACTTATGTCCTGCCTACCTCAGGGCTCTGTCCTTCCCACAGCCCTGGTTGGGGAGACTGATGAGAAGATGGGCTGTGGGACTTGTGGGCCAAGGGGGGCAGAGAAGATAGGACTCAGTAATAAAGATACAGGAATGACAGATGGGATTTGTGAGGCTGACCTGAGTTTGACTGGAGCAGGGCTGTGAGAGCCACTATCTCCAGTAAACAGATTTGTTTTGTTTTTAAGGAATTGAGCTGTCACTGGCTGCAGGCCCATGCGAAGGACCTTGTTGGTAGCTGGAGTTAGAGTTTAAAAACTCAAAGGGACTCAAAGACTGCCACCCACTGTGAGAAACTGGGACAGCAGTGGGACCATCAGCTGTCTCCAGGAAGGACGGTGAGATCTGAGTGCAAATCTGCTTGTCCCTGTGAGCACCCTAGGGCCAACCTTCTGAAGAAACCCCCTCAGTCCAGACCTTCACTCCTAGCCTGTTGGCCATGGCTGTGTCCCTGTCAGGTTTCCAGGTAGAGCTCAAGTGCCCCATCTGTCTGGATGAACTGTCAGATCCAGTCACCATGGAGTGTGGACACAACTTCTGTCATACCTGCATCCAACACTCTTTGAAAAATCTGCAAGGCAGTTTCCCCTGTCCTACCTGTCGACACTCATGCCAAGACCCGAACCTCAGGAGTAACATTCAGTTGGGAAGGATGATTGAAAGAACGAAGCAGCTCTACAGCATCAGTGGAAAGAGGAAGAGGCAGGAACCCAGGACCACGTGTGTGAAGCACAAGCAGGATCTGACCCTCTTCTGTGAGGAGGACCTAGAGCTTCTGTGTGAACTCTGCACTGGGCCAGATGGTCACTGTGGCCATCAGGTGATGCCCATTGCAAAGGCTGCCGCTCACCACAGGGAGAAGATCCAAGGCTTCATCAAGCCCTTGAAGAGAAAAGTCAAAGAGGCTCAAAAGTTAGTAAGCATTCAGAGCAGAAGACCCCTGGCCCTGAGAGAGGAGGTGGAAGCACGGAGACAGGAACTGGCTGCTGAATTTGAGCGACTCGATTGGTTTTTAGACAAGGAACAGCAGACAGCTCTCTCCAGGTTAGCCCAGGAGGAGAAGGAGGGTGAGAAGAAACTCAGAGAAAACACGAGAGCTTTTGCAAACTACGGATCCACGCTCAAAGGTCTGCTGAGCCAGGTGGTGAGGCACAGGGCGCTGTCTGAAGGAGAACTGCTGTCAGAAGTCAAAAATTTCTACAAGAATTCTGACAGTCTGATCAGCCCACACATCTTTTCAGTGTATTTACAACAAGAGGCATACTATCTTCCTCCCCAGTACTCTGCCCTACAAAAACTTATAGAGAAATTCTCAGAGGATATAATTCTAGACCCGGAAACAGCCCATCCAAACCTGGTCATCTCTGAGGATAAAAAATGTGTGAAATTTTCTAAGAGAAAACGGCGTGTTTCTGATTCAAAGAATAGGTTTACTAACAGCCCTGTTGTGCTGGGGACTTCAAACTTCCTTTCGGGGAGACATTTCTGGGTGGTGCAGGTAGGAAGGAAGGGGGAGTGGGCTGTTGGTGCCTGCGTAGCCCACCTGTCCCCGCGGGCAAGGAAGTCCTCCATCCCTCAGGGGTGCTGGAGGATTGTGTGGCAGGGTGAAGGCTGTGAATCCCCAGATGTTGACTCAGATGCTATGCTGCAGGCTGTCAGAGCTGGGTTCATTGGCATTTTCCTGGACTATGAGTTGGGGGTGATCTCCTTCTATAGCATGCCTGAGAAGTCTCACATCTGTACCCACAGGGGCGTCTTCTTTGGGTTTCTTTGTCCTTATTTCTATGTAGGACCCGATTCAGGACCTCTTAGGATCTGTCCTGGCATAGATTCTGAGTAAAAACTGGTTTTATTTAACAGTTGGTTTTTTTTTTTTTAAATGCTCTCATGTTGTCTAGGTTGGCTCCAAGCTTGTTATAGCTGAGGATGACCTTGAACTTGAACTCATGATCTTCCAGTCAACTGCTAGGATTGTAGGTATGAACCACTGCACCAACCTTTTTTTTTTTTTTTTGTCTTTCTGAGACAGGGTCTCCCTATAGCCTCAACTGGCCTGGAACTAGCTATGTAGACCAGGCTGGCCTTGATCTTGCAGAGATCCGCCTGTCTCTGCCTTCCAAATGCTGTGCCACCACACCTGGCAACTCAACATTTTTATTTTTTGTTTTGTTTTGAGACAAGTTCTTGGTATGTAGTCATGACTAAACTTGAATGTGGTAGGTAGAGCAGGCTGGCCATAGACTGTCAGTACTCCCTCCACTTTAGCCTCCTGTCCCTGTGTGCTAGAGATGAACATAGACCAAAAGTCCAGACAACATAGGCATTTTAAAATGTTTTTTTGGTGGCACTGATTAAACCAAGTGCCTAGCAGAAGTTAGGCAACTGCTGTACCACTGAGCTATATACTTAGCTCCTTTTCACTTTTGAGACAGGTAAGTTTACGCAGGCTAGCCTTGTGTATAGCCCATGCAGGTTTTGAACATGAGAGTCTCCTGTCTCAGCCCTCCCAAGTACAGGTTTACATGACCAGGCTAGGCCACATCATAAAATTGAGTTTTAAAGGCATTTTCATTTTATTTTTGACAGGGTCTCATGTAGCCTAGGCTAGCTGCAAAACTGATTTGTACCAGAGGCTAACCTTGAAGTCCTGACCCTCCAGCCTCAGATTTACAAATATTCAGATTTCTATTTGAAGGTATCCTAGTTGCCCCATAATCTCAAAAACATTAAATATGTAATAAATATTAATGAGGGGTTGGATTAGCAGTAGCAGAGCTCTAAAAGTTTTTCTTATTGATCTTTGTTTTTTTGGTTTTTTTAGACAACATGTAGCCCTGACTGACCTGGAACTCAGCTTTACAGACCAAGCTGGCTTTGAACTCACAGAGATCCCCCTGCCTCTGTCTCCTGAGTGCTAGGATTAAAGGCATGTGATACTGTGCCTGACCCTCTAAAAAGTTTCTTGAGGGGCTGGAGAGATGGGTCAGTGGTTATGAGCACTGGCAGCTCTCCCAGGTTCGATTCCCATATTATGGCTAAGAACCTTAACTTCAGTTACAGGGCATCCAATGCCCTCTTCTGGCCTCCATGGGCACTGTATGCATGACTCACTATGTAGACCTGGCTGATCTTAAACTTGCTATTTTTTTTTTTTTTTTTTTTTTTTTTTTTGCCTTTTGGAGACAGGGTCTCCCTGCCGAGTGCTGGGATTAAAGGCATGTGCCACCATGCCCAGCCGAACTTGCTATTATCCCTCAGCCTCTCAAATAGCTGGGATTATAGGCAAATCCCAGTATGCCACACTAGATTTTGTGGGAGTTTCCCCCCCCCAAACTTTATTATGTGTGTGATTATGGTTCTGAGTGTAGAGGCCAGAGGCCAGAGCATAACATTTGGGAGTCAGTTTTCCTATCACCATATGCCCTGGGGATCAAAATCGGGTCAGGCTTTCAGGGCAAGCTCTTTTACTCAACAGGCCATTTCGCAGGCCCTAAAACTGGTTCTAAATATAAGAGATCGAAAGGGTCCTGGTGTGAGGTACTGGTGTGCTATTGCAAAGTGGGTTGTTTTATTTCTAAAAGCTACAGGAAAGCCTTTGGGATGTTTTCATCATAAAGATATGATGCATGTTTGAGAGGGAGAAGAAATGTAACCTGATGTAAACATTGTATATGTTCATATGTTGAAATACCACAAGGTGTCCCATTAATGTAGTTTTTGTGTGATAAGTTCAATAAATTTAATAAACGTGACTTCTGTTGGCATATAAGGTGGTTCTTTGGGGTTTGCAGTTTATCACACTTGCTTTCTCAGTTTTTCACTTAATCCCTAAAATATCCAGACTAGTGGCTCATAGCTGTAATCACAGCACTAAGGAGATAGAGGCCAGAGGATCTTTTGTGTTTTTTGGAGGGTGGCTTTCTAAACTTTTAACATCTGATCTTCTTGCTTCTGAGTGCTAGGAATATAGGCATGTGCCACCACATGCAGCGTTATGTATATCACACCTGGCCAGAGGTGAATTTTTTAAATCATTAAATATTTTATACTTTTTATTCTTCAATAAGGGGTCCAAGAGTCCTCCCAACTCTTATTAGCTCTAAGCATGTTGGGAATACTGGTGCTGTGGTTTGGATCTGGACTGTTCCCCCAAAGGCCAGAGCACTGATGGCTTGGTCCCCATTTTGGTGCTGCCAGGAGATAGGAGAACTTTGAAGGAGGGAGGGGCTTAAACTTTTTAAATGTAAACCGTATGAGCATTTTGCCTGCATGTATATAAGTGCACCACATGTGTGCAATGCTTACAGAGGCCGGAAGAGGCATCAGGTACCCTGGAACTGGAGTTACAGTTGTTAGCTACCATGTGGGTGCTGGAAACCCAACCTAGGTCCTCTGCTAGAGCAGCCAGTTAAGAGCTAGAGCAGCTCTTAACCACTGGGCTACCTCTCTAGCCCTTAAAACACAGTCTTAGCATACAATAGTGTTTTTGTGGGATCCAGGCTGGCTTCAGACTCTGTAGCTGAGGATGGTCTGTATTGATTCTCCTGCCTCCACCTCCTGAATGTTGAGATTACAGATATGAATCACCAAGCCTAGCTTTCTTGAGACAAGGTCTCACTGTGCAAGTCCTGGACCTAGCAATGTAGACCAGGCTAGCCTCAAACTCACAAAGACTGACCTGCTTCAGTCTGAGGGCTGGGATTATAGACATGGGCTACCATACCTGGCTGAATGTGTTTTTGTTTGGTTTTAGAGATGACCTTGCAGTGTTTTGTATCCCAGGCTAGCCTGTAACTCCTGATCCTGCTTCAAC